CACACAACTGCATTTCACATGCACCCCCCTGGCCCATTTTGAGTTTTATTTATCATTTTAAATTTTTTCCTTTTGATTTTGGTTCTATATTTTTATTTAAGCATGAAAAAAAATTTAAATTATTTTTCTCACATTTTTTTGCATTTTTTTGATATTCATTTTGTTTCATTTACCTTTGTACATAAATAAACACAAAAATACTTTTATTTAAAAAAATAACTAAGAAAAATACAAAACATTTTTATTTTCTGATTTTTATTTTATTTTACCTTTGAAAACATTTTATAAAAAATATATACTTTTTTAATAATATTAAATATTTTATTTTTGTACATATAATATATATTTAATAAATTATGTAAATACTTATATATTTATTATAATATTTAGGTTAAAAATACAAAAAATACTACATTTTTATTGTTATTAATATTTAACTTAAAAAATCACTTTTTTACAATATACTTTCTTTTATTTATTTTTTTGTACATAATTAATAAGTATTGCATATATTAAATAATTAATACATTTTGTTTAACAAAATTAGGGTTTTGCCCTAAATACCTAAAAAATACCAAAAATCAATTCATTTTATTTTTGTTTATTTGACACATGAAAAATACTTTTTTTTACATACATATGAAAACCATTTCTTGCATTTTTTGCATATTCATTTTATTTTATTATTGTGCAATTAAATAATTTGTGTAATTCAATTTGGATGTAATAGTTAGATTTTAATTTCTTGCTAAAAAATCCCCATTTGAACATTTGTACCCCTCATCCCATATATTGTGTTGTAATAACTTAGGACCTTTTATTTTCCGCATTTTAAAAGCTCTCTAAATATGCCATGTTAGAATTAGGGTTTGTATGCAAAAATTAACCAAAAAATAGTTTGACCTAAATTCAAGATAAACAAGCATGAAAATGGACAACACTAATCACACTTGCACCCCTAGGGTATTCCACTTGATGCCTTCAATAATGGGCCATATTGCATGTTAGGTATCTTTGGCAAAAACAAAACAATCAAATGATCATAGTCCCTCGATGACGCTTTCAAAAGTTGCCTAAAATGATCAAGTCCCTTAAAGGAAATTGCCCAAAGATACTTGGCACCATTGGAATCATGGTCTAAACGATGACCCGCGCCCGTCCCGTTCACATCCTAACACAAGATTGTCCACCAAATACAATGGTGGAACAAAATTGTTAAAAAGGGTTAAAAACATAGCAAAGATCTTTGAGAAATTTAGAGTAGACAACTCTTGGTTACTTGCCAACTTACAAAACAAAAACACTTTGCTATTTTTCAAGACACACATCACAACACTTTCAAAACAACTTTCAAAAACAATTGAAAACTTTTCAAAAGACATACACCTTTGTGTACATCTCAACATGGATCATTACAAAGGTTGCCACCACATTGGCCTCTTTTCAAAACATTTTCAAACCCACACACAAAGCACCATTTCAAACAATTGAAAGTACCATTTCAAACAATTGAAAATAAAGGCAAGTTGATCTAAGCAAGTAACTAAGAGCCCATGGATAACCATGGATAGAAAGGGTGCTAATACCTTCCCTTTCTATAATCTACTCCCCGAACCCAAGAAAACATCTTAAAGGTTTTTGCTGTGCTTTTTAACCTTTCCTTAGGATAAAATAAAAAGTCGGTGGCGACTCTTGCTCAACCGAAACATTTGCGAAAACAAACGCAAAACCTCAAGTCAGTTCTCCCACCGAATCACACATAGGATCATTAGACTTTATCAATTTCAATTTTTAATTTCCAAGTTGCTAAGTTGTATTTGGTGTAAATTTGTATCGTTTGATTAGTAATGCTAATAAAATGAGCATGTCTGTTTTGAAATCAATCCATTCGTATTCACTCTTCTATCACTTTTCATAAATATCAAGTGTTCACTTCCATCTTCTATTCCACCACCTAAACAAACTTCTAGGGAGAATGATGTAAACTAAATAACTGAATTTTGTTAAACTATGCTTTCAATGGTAAGACCGAGCTGATGATGTAAGGCATTGTTTCAATTCCTAAATAGTGGATAAATAAGGATTTAATATGTAGCCAACCCCCTCGAGCCAGGAGTTGGAGTTGTTCTATTTTCTAAAAATAAAAAACCTTAATTTTAACCATGGTTTCAAGGAGTTGGACTCATCTTCATGCAAGGTTGAATTAACTTGTTTCTTCAACAATCATGGTTTGAAACTAGGGTTTTGGATTCATGATCATTTTTAACTTTCTCTTCCTCAAGCTACAAGGTCTTCCTCTGTCAAGATTCAGCAAGATAAAGTGTTAGGGTTTCATATGTTATGCTTAGGGTTTCATCAAGGATTGGAATTAGGGTTTTGGGTTCTCCTCAAATTCTCAAGCCATTTCTTCTTAATTGAGCATCCAAGCCAAGAGGATTAGGATTCCTTATCCATGGTATTTGAGTTTGAGGTTAATTGAGTTTAATGTTAAGGTGTTCCTATATGCTTCAAGTCTTATCTTCTTCAAGGATTACTCAAAGCACTATTGTTATGTTGGATTGAAGTACAAGTGCAAGTCATGGCAAAAGAGATGAACTTGTGGATCCATTTTGTTCAAGGCATGTTTATTCTTTCATTTGCTTGTGGCTTGTAATACAAGTTGACTTAGATTAGTGAATGAAGTCAAGGGCTCTTTAAGAATGCAAGATTATTTGGATTTGAAGTTGATTCAATTGATTCTATAAATTCAAATTTGTGTTCAAGTTAATTGATTAGATCTAAGTCCTTAAGCATATGATTTGTCAAGAATTAATGCAAGCTTGCTAAAAATGAAAGATTCTTTCATATGGATTTCTTGGCACACAAGTTTCAAGATTCAAGTCATTCATCATCGTCCAGGTTCCATAAAATTACATTCATAATTCTCTCATAGCTTCAAGTACTTTCCAACATAATTCATTCAAAGTAAATCAATGCACTTTTATTTCATTCAATATGAATTCAAATTACAAGGTTCAAATGCTTCAAGTTATCATATCATTTCCTTTTACATCCCATCACTCACAAAAAAACTGAGTTCATATTTCTATCTTAAGCCTAAGGTTCCTAAAAAAATGCTAAAATACATGTTCCATATGATCCTTGTTCAAGATTTCACGTCCAGCCATAACAAGTCAAGTGTCCATGCCAAATTCCAATCCATATATGTAGGTCTAAGGGCCTTCAAGGTAACATCACTTTTCTTCCAACATTGCAATTTCACCAGAGCATCATCCTTATGCCAACAACCTTTACATCAAATGCAATTCCCACCATTGAACCCTGTCAAAACAGATGCATAAGCCCTGCGAACGTATTAAAAATAATGGAACAGTTGAAGCAGAAAAATGAATTAAAAACAATCAAAATTTTAAACCAAGGAGGAACAGAAGATCACAATGGACAAACATGAATCGAAAACCTACTGCACAAACAATCCATTAACTTCTGATCTATAATTCACACACCAAACCATGGTGTTGAACCACACCAGCAACACAAACTACTATGCAATTAAAAAACCCAGTTAAGGAAAATAAACCTTGAGATTAGTCCAGCCCTGCACATACAGAATTCAAACACAACCAGTCCGTGGGAAACCAATTCAAAATCGGTTCACACTAGATAAAAATCATTTAAAGCAAAAACAAGTGAGAAACACTTCAGAATTGAAAGTAAAACCAAGCCTAAGCTGAGCTCAGTGTAACAGAAAAATTCAGGGAACTAAACATTAAATTACATAACTAACCTCATAACATAAAACTTTCAATAACAAATTATTGCAACTGGTTTTTAAATTAGAGTCGCCACCCTTAATTTTTATCCTAATGGGAGGGAATATAAAGGAATAACCCTAAAGTTTAGAGATTCTAGATTTGGACTCGGTTCTAGACGAGGGAAAGGTGTTAGGCACCCCTTATCTACCTTGTTCGCAAGGATACTAGACTCAGAAGCGCAATGTTTAGCAAATAGGGTTTTTACTATTAATAGGGGAAAAGGTTTGAATTTTAGATAGCAGGACTCACCACGATTTTTGATCGTAAGCCTATGTATCCTCCTAGGAGGAATAAGAGTCATATTTCGTAGTTCACGGTTGATTTGTGTTTTTTATAGATTACGGAATATATTTGAATTTCCCGCATACGTAGTCTAAGAGTGTGAATAGTGGAGTTTGTTAGACCAAGTGCGCGGTTGATTCAAATATATTCGTATTCTTTTTTCAAAAATTAATGTTGAATAAATTTATTACAAAAAATAATTTGATGTTTGTTTGAGTAATTTTAAGACGTAGAGCGAGGGAGTCTGATATAGTCTCCTCATCACGTGGCCAGATATTGACCACATGTCGCTCGCGGATGGAAAAGTTTGTGAGTTGCATGGATTTTAATATTTTGATTATTAAATAATTGACTGATAGACAATGGGTCAATCAATCACTTATTTGAGGATAACGGTGGATGAAAAATCTACCAATCCCATTATTGAATTAATTTAATTCTGAAAAGTGTTTGAATTTATGTACAAGGTTATTTTACCAATTATCTTAAATAATTTTACTAAATTAATTATTTATAAAAAAAATAATGTAATCAACCTAATAAATCTAATTATTTTATTAGAGATTTATTTGTTTAATTGCTTACATATAATCATCAAATTGACTCATTAAAAACTAAAGTTCTAAGCTAATTGGATACACTATGTGAGTACAATGATATATTAGAGGTGTATAAGTTATAATTGAACTTAAGGCCCAACTAATAACTCTAATAAAAACCTAATCCCAAATTTTAGTTAAATGATGAAACCAATAATAAAAAACATTACGTACTTTTTATAATGACAATGTAAAATCAAAACAAATATAAAAACTAATTATAAATTTGACCCATTCTTTTATTTGTTTTTTTTTATTAAAAAAAATTAACCAACCATAACTTGACAAGTGTCCATGAATTGAATTAATACATCACAAAAGCAAATAGCACAATCCTTATCATGACATATGGTAAAACCCAAAAAGCCACTCTCATGTTCCTTTGATTCTCATCCTCCATTTTGTCATCTTTTTCATTTGTCTTCACTATGATTGTTTAAGAAAAATTTAAATCAAAGTATCTTAAATCTCAAATCAAAGAAGAGTACCAAGTAAATTACAACAATGACAACAAAATCATTAAGATGAAAGGTAAGAACATCTAACCCGTGAGATCTAAATTTCTGTGGCGGCGGATCTGGACTTCAGGGCGGTGGTCAGAAACGAGACGGTGGACTTGTGAAGGAGATCCCAACAGTTGAACAGGATGGCTGGCCGGTGTAGCCGGCGGGGAATCAGAGGTGTGCATCCAGTTCACTCTCTCCCAATTTTTTTCTCTTGATTTCCTAATGCTGCATAATGATGAGAAACTTGGAAATAACTTTTTGTGCTATATGCAGCAGAGTAATTGTTAAAATAGTTAGGAGAAGATGTTATTTGATTCAAGTAAAAAAGGATAATAACAATGGTATGTGAGTGTTAGAAAAAAGTATACACACATGTATGCCGAGTACAAAGTATGTTAGTATATTCTATACAAAAAAATAGGATTTGTATGGTGCAGGAGTGTATCTACACTGATGTGAGTTACGCACAGTATGTGGAAAATATTTTTGGCCTCCTATAAAAGATTAAATTAATTTAGATACATATTTTTTTATTGATTAATTTGTTAATTATTGGCTAAGGAGAAAAAAAGTTGGAAATTGTTGATAGTTAGTGTAAATAAATTAAAAAGAACCATCAGATGTCCATCATTTGGTTGAAAATAAATAAAATTTATAAAATATTAAAAATTAAAATAAAAAGAGAGAGAGAGGGGTGGCCTCATATTTAATCATTGGCCGATGATAAAAAAATAATACCAAAAGTTTTTTTGAAGAGAAAAATTGAAAAGAAATTTTGAAAAGAAATTTATAAACAAGATGTGTGTGAGTGTGATTGAATTGTGGATTATGGGAAATTGTAGATTTGTGGAAATTGTGAATGAAAATGACCTTTTAATCTGATCTCTTTTTTTTTTTACCGTGGAAGATTGTTGTGATAAGATTAGTGCGTGAAAATAATTGCTACAGTAAAATTAGTGTGTAAAAGGAATTGGCATAAGAAAAGTAATATTAGTATGAATATGAACCACTAAAGATAAAAACTAATAAAATGAAGAAAAATAGTTTTCAGTTCTAATATGTAAGAACGTGTGTTTGCATATTTATCATTACCGTAAGATAAGTCATTTGCTAAGTGTAAAATTGTAAACAAATATAAAATTGGAAAGAGGAATTGTGTGAATTTTTGTGTGATTTAACGTTATTAGAAATAAGAATATTAACCAAGCATTTAGTCAATGTAAATAGAGAATATTTAAAAACGTGATGTTACTTGTTAGATAAAAGAGAACAAGCAAATAAATTGGAACACAAAAAAAAAGGAGAAATGGTGGCCTCATATAAAATCATTGGCCAAGAATAAAGAATTGTGTTGTTGTTTGATATAGACAACCACACTAGAATAAACTAAGAACAAGAATTATAAGAAAATACAAGAATTTTGTGGATGAATGTTTATATTTCTGGATGAATTGTGTATATTGTGGATGTCCTATTTATACACACAAAAAAATATCCAAATTGGAAATAAAACAAAATTGACAATCAAAAGTAAAGTGTGACACAAATTTACATCAAATGACCAATAAGAAACACCTATTTAAAAGGAAAGAAAATTAGTGACAAAAAAATAGAAAAAATAGAAAATGTTTAAAGTGCGGCACAAGAGATTTAAACCCATAACATTATACTTACAAGCTTCATTCCTTACCAATTGTACTATGTTACTTACTAGAAATAAATAGCCAATCGAAAGTACATGAAGATGAGAAAGTATTTGTTATTTAAAAATATAAATAATTTGAAATGAATCATTATATTTTTAAATATGTTCGGAAGTGAATATTTATAAAAATCAATATTATAAAAACAAAGTTTATAATATTTTTGACTGGACTTGAAATGAATATCTATAAAGATCAAATAATATTATAAAAATAAAATTTAAAATATTTTTGATTGGACTTGAGAATGAACATCTATAAAAATCAAATAATATTATAAAAACAATGTTTAAAATATTTTTTACTGTAGAAATAAAAGGGCGGACAAATTTGGGGTATGACAGCTGCCCCTGTTTAATCATCTTTCGATTGAATAGTGCGAGAATATGTAAGTCTCACACGTTTAATCGGAAGTTTATTAAATATTGGAAAACCCCAAGATTTGTCTGAGATATAATAAGGATACATTGTACAGCATTCCCATGAGTATGAAAAATAGGCACAGATGATGATGTATCATCCTACCGATGTTTAAACCAAAGTTTTGATAGAATTTAGACACGGCGATGCAGATAACTCGTCAGTATCTAAGAGATTGCAAAATTTACTTTTTTACTGTAACCTACGAGGCAAATGATACAAGTTTTGAAAAGTTGACCTACTAATGCTATGAGACTAATATAGTAAGTTTGTGAGTAGATTTTTTATATTCACCGCAACCTAGGGGACGAATAAAACAAAATTTGATAACATATTGTTGCATGGAAACTGATGCAATGGATTACACAAATTTCGTAATGTTACTACAACCTAGAGAGTAAACAGAACAAGGATGAACCTGTGCATTTATCACAACCTAGGGGATAAAAGACAACATGGGTGAGCTTACGTTATCCATCGCAACCTAGGGTATGAATAATATAACCTTGAAGATTCACATATCTATCGCTACCTAGGGGATAGATAGTTGAAACAAGCTTGAAACTAGATATTTGGAACTTGGAATGACAATGTTGGTTGTGTCGTCTCAACCAAGATTCAATAACCAAACGAAGTATACTAGATTTGAAGCGGTGGAACTCAAAATTCACTGATGAGGTTAGTTGTGTCATCTCAACCATAACCATCAACATGAAGAAAAATACCATGAACTCACGATGATGTTGGTCGTGTCGTCTCAACCATAACCATCAATGTGAGGAAAAATATACCCCAAACTCATGATGATGTTGGTCGTATCGTCTCAACCATTATCAACATGAAGAAAATGAACCCCAAACTCATGATGATATTGGTCGTGTCGTCTAGACCATTATCAACATGAAGAAAATGAACCCCAAACTCATGATGATATTGGTCGTGTCATCTCAGCCATTATGAACATGAAGAAAATAAACCCCAAACTCATGATGATATTGGTCATGTCGTCTCAACCATTATCAACATGAAGAAAATAAACCCCAAAGTCATGATGATATTGGTCGTGTCGTCTTAACCATTATCAACATGAAGAAAATGAATCCCAAACTCATGATGATATTGGTCGTGTCGTCTCAACCATTATCAACATGAAGAAAATGAACCCCAAACTCATGATGATATTGGTCGTGTCGTCTTAACCATTATCAACATGAAGAAAATAAACCCCAAATTCATGATGATATTGGTCGTGTCGTCTCAACCATTATCAACATGAAGAAAATGAACCCCAAACTCATGATGATATTGGCCGTGTCATCTCAACCATTATCAATATGAAGAAAATGAACCCCAAACTCATGATGATATTGGTCGTGTCGTCTCAACCATTATAAACATGAAGAAAATAAACCCCAAATTCATAATGATATTGGTCGCGTCGTCTCAACCATTATCAACATGAAAAAATAAACCCCAAATTCATGATGATATTGGTCATGTCGTCTCAACCATTATCAACTTGAAGAAAATGAACCCCAAATTCTTGATGATATTGGTCGTGTCGTCTCAACCATTATGAACATGAAGAAAATAAACCCCAAATTCATGATGATATTGGTCGTGTCGTCTCAACCATTATCAACATGAAGAAAATGAACCCCAAACTCATGATGATATTAGTCGTGTCGTCTCAACCATTATCAACATGAAGAAAATGAACCCCAAACTCATGATGATATTGGTCGTGTCATCTCAACCATTATCAACATGAAGAAAATAAACCCTAAATTCATGATGATATTGGTCGTGTCGTCTCAACCATTATAAACATGAAAAAATAAACCCCAAATTCATGATGATGTTAGTCGTGTCGTCTCAACCTTTATCAACATGAAGAAAATGAACCCCAAATTCATGATGATATTGGTCGTGTCGTCTCAACCATTATCAACAAGAAGAAAATAAACCTCAAATTCATGATGATATTGGTCGTGTCGTCTCAACCATTATCAACATGAAGAAAATGAACCCCGAACTCATGATGATATTGGTTGTGTCGTCTCAACCATTATTAACATGAAGAAAATGAACCCCAAACTCATGATGATATTGGTTATGTCTTCTCAACCATTATCAACATGAAGAAAATAAACCCCAAATTCATGATGATATTGGTCGTGTTGTCTCAATCATTATCAACATGAAGAAAATGAACCCAAAATTCATGATGATGTTGGCCGTGTCGTCTCAACCATAGCCATCAACATGAAGAAAATACCCCAAACTCACGATGATTTCGATCGTGTCGTCTAAACCATAACCATCAACGTGAAGAAAAATACATCCCAAACTCATGATGATATTGGTCGTGTCATCTCAACCATAATTATCAACATGAAAAAATATACCACAAATTCATCGACGATGTTGGTTGTGTCGTCTCAATTATAACCATCAACATGAAGAAAATGAACCCCAAATTGATTTATAGTTTGAACTAAAAGTTCTCATAGATAAACCTGCTAAAAATGAACCCTAAGAGAATCATATTTTTAACCAAAGTAGCTTTGCAAGACGCCATGTATGTATAGTGACCTAAATTGATGTGCGATCCAAGTGTGATGTATGCACAAATATTTGTATGTTTTATGCCCCAAATGTTTGTATGCATATGCCCTAAGTATGCTTGTATATGCCCCAAATGTTTTGCAAATGTTTTTGATGATTCTCCTTTCTCGTAATCACCAACTCCCTAATGTTATTTGTTGCCAATTGTTGTATCTCCAAGTTGATTCGAATTTTGTGAAAAGGTGTTGGCGAGACCTTGAGTTCTGTATCGTAGGCGTAAGCGTAGGTATGAACATGGATGTGGATGTTGGCGTAGTCGTGGATGTAGGCATGTGCGTAGAAATAGGTGTGGACATAGGTATGGACGTGGAAATAGGCATGGTCATGGATGGGGACATGGATGTTGGCGTATTCGTGGAGGTAGGAATGTGCGTAGAAATAGGCGTGGATATAAACGTAGGCATGGATTTTTCTTCGTTGTTCTTCTAACC